GGCGGCTCAAAGCCCGCCTCCGCCCGCACAGTCGATAAGCTAACAGCCACAAATCGGAAAATACACCCGCGGCTGGCACCCGGCACCACCGCGCGAGACTAGAACGCTTTGAGCAGCCAGACGAGGCTGCAGATTTCCAATAGAATGCATAACAGATCTCACCGAAACACACACGCGAAAAGATAGGTAGAAAAGGTCCGGCTTACCAACGACGATCATAGCATCAAAGTCAGATAGATAGAAGTTAACCAAAAGAAGAAAAAACGCGCCAAAATTTTGCAATTCCGTTTGTTGTGGGGTGTCGGCATGCTCCTCTAGGGTATGCGTAATAATGTTGCGCTCCTTCGAATGCCAACTGCACATCTCCGTCACTTTGAATACGACTTCTTTTTTGTGATGATGATGTTTTCGCATTCAACTCACCGAGCACGTACGGCGTGCCCATGATGGCCGGCACGGTGAAGCCCACGCCGATGCGGAACGCCGTCCACGAGATGAAGTCGTGCGCGAAGGCGGTGGCGATGCCGAAGGCGCACTCGATGAGCAGGTAGATGAAGAAGGCGGGCCGGCGCCCGATCCTGCGAGGGAAGGATGAATTTAGAATTAAGATTTTTTATTGATGAAGGGAGGGGAAAAGGAAGATGAGCCAGCCACACTCTGCTCGTTTTCTGCTAGCATAGAACCGTTTCGAAAAATCGCAATGTCACAGCGGAGAAGGGCAGTGTAGCGATTTCTTTAATTTCAGTAAATGCATATTATTATTTCTCAGAAATATTAAGTCCAGTTGTGTGACTAATACATAAATATAGAGAGAAACAGAGACAGAGAGAAAGAGATAGGAACTGTGTAGTTGGCTGTGAGAGGAGAGGGTCGGGAGGGCGGTGCCCAGCATATTTCACAGGGGATTCCGTGTCGAATGAATGTGAAACACCGCCCCGACCCCCCGCTTCCCCCACCCACCCCGCATCGGCTCAGAGGCGAATTCGTTTACTCCCCGAAATGAGCTACTTCATGCCGGCCTGTGAGTGTGCTGCTTTTATGTGTGTGTAATGGCGCCATGGGCACGGTTCTGCAGAAATAAATAATTTTCCCCCTTCTGTCTTTCTTTCCTGCTGGACAAATATTTGCATGTTCTGCTTCGTTATGTGTTGGGCGTGGGTGTATACGAGAGTGGCGGAGTAGAGTAGGAGAGGAAGGGGGAGGGAGGGGGAGAGAAAGGGAGAGGGGAAGAAAGGGAGGAAGAGAGGGAGGAAGAGAGGGAGGGAATTCGGAGGGAGCAACCGTCCACCTGTTGGCGCCAAGCCCATGCCAGACAGGGGGACTTGTAGTTGTCTGTGGCACAGCGTGCGTTTGAGCGGAGTGAGTTATTTCGCTTTATTTCAAGCCATTTGCCAAAACTAAATTAATCCGCTCATTACATTTACAGAGAGACAGAGTGAGAGAGAGAGACAGAGTGAGAGAGAAGGAGAGAAAGGGAGAGAGAGAGAGAGAGAGAGAGAGGAGAGGATGGCGATATTTCCGATGAAACTCACGAGTCCTGGAGGTAGCCGAAGATGTAGTTGCCGACGAGGCCACCAACGGCGAGCAGCACCAGTGCGAGGGTCGAGTGGTAGTCCCGGTCGCACACCATGTCCCACTGCATCAACAAAGAAAGAGAAGTATAAAATATTGGCCTAATCTATTTAGAGGGGTCGATAGGGATGCGACAGAGAGAAAAGCTGCTTTTAAGTTGTCACAGAGTTAGCCAGTTTGGGTGTCTGTCCGTGTACCAGCAAATATATTGGCTATGGCAGCGAATTTTTATTTTTTTGCCGTGTGGAAGGTCGGCAGACTGCTCCCGCCACTGTCGACCAAATTGCTTTAGCATTACGTCCTTTCAGCCGCAAGCGGCTTTTCGGCCGGCCGGCCGGCCCCGTATGACCGAATAGCCCGCAGGGCGGCAGGTCCTTCCAGCTTCGCCCCCCCCCCTCCCC